CCTGGCCCGTTCAATAACAGGTCCAGATGCAACCAAATACCGGTATCCACCGTACCCCTTTCACAACCCATGAGGTTGTCCACCTGAGAAAGAGGCACGTGCAAGGGGGACCCCCCAAGGAAGAGGGGGATCACAAATTGTTTCAGGACAGCCCTCTTTTACAGCGCTTAGATTGTGTCCCAGTCTGGACGTGCATGAGCCGCCAACAATGTGAGCCTACGCCTATGCGAGGTCTCAAGGTCTATCTCAGCCAATGCTGCGACAGCGTCTGAGATGTATATGCGGGCCGTCTTAGGGCTATTCCAGCGACCAACATGGCACACTTGCGACAGGTTGCCGGTCATCCGAAACATGTGCGTGGCCCCGCCCCTTCGGCAAGAGTACCACTGAAAATTCCCAGCCAGATTGGCATCCTCTGTGAGGACTTTCAAACGGTTCCGTTGAGTCTGGCCAGACACTCTAGTGAGCTTATCTCCAGGCGACAAATGCTCAAGGTATGATCGCAAAAGGGAGACAACCCAGCGGTCACGAACGACCAAGGACTCTTTCGCGCCCGTGCGCTGGCCTGACTTAGTTAAAGGCAGGCTCCACACTGCAGATCTTTTATGGTCAAACACAAAGTCACCTTTCAAAGCGGAGAAGAGCTCAGCAGACCGTGGGAACATGCAAAAACCGACAATCAACAACACAGCAGTGTCATTCCAATGACGCCGATGCGCCAGTTCAGCCAAGGAGTACACCAGCAGGGGTGTGAATGGAGCCGCACGTAACGGCAGCTCCGCTCGGCCCCACGCGGCGTGCAAACGCCATGCACCCACCAGCCATGGTTTACAAGGTGGGATGAAATGTCCAAGTCCTGACAGGCAATCTGAGGCCCATCCTTTGGGGTCGCCGGACTCCCACAATGATTCAACATACCTGCATACCAAGTTGTCTAATTCAATAAATCCCGAAGGATAACTCACACCCAACGCGATCAAAAAGTCTATGAATTTATAAACATGCAACCTGTACCGTGCTAAAGTCTTTGGGGCAACCACCTGTTCAGCCAACTTTCCCAATCTGGCTCTCCTCGCCTTTCTTGCTGCCTGCGACGCCTTTTGTCGCAAGTCCGGCATTGGTCTCTAAGCTCTGCCGCGCCACCGGCTTGGGCCATCCGCTGGATTCAGCGCGGATTGGACCCAGCCCAACACCAAGGTCATTCCAGTGGCAAGCAGCACGGCGGCGAGTCGCGTCAAAGGTCCCTGCATTCGAGCACTCGAAGTTCGACCTCGCGCGATGATTGAGAGCACTGACTGGTTATCCACTAGCAGCAACCGCCGTTTGTCATGGTCCTCCTTCTTTCGGGCCAGCTTTGGGCACAAGTCGAGGACGGCTGCAAGCTCTAGGGCATTTATGTGTCCAGTTTCCTTCCACTTATAGCTCAGGAAGACCTTCCAAATCCAAGCTGAAGGATCAACGGGCCTGCGCGCAAAAAGATGCGGCGCATATGGGAGGCCAGCTTCGAATCGCACATCCGACCCTCTGTGATCGATGATCCGGCAGTATTGCAGGATCAAAAACTGTTCATTTGTCAGCCTGCTCCCTTGGCGGTCTTCCTGACGAGGTAGTTGCTGCTTTTGCCCAATTAGATCTCGCACGGTTTTGGCCCCTTCCCAGGTCCCAGCAGTTGCTCCAAAGCGTTCGGTCCACCCAGTGGCTTTCTGGCTTTGCAGTGCCACTTCCTCGTGTGCATCCCATGCTTTCCAAAGGAGCTCCACGTAGTTTTGCTGCTGGTCAGGAGGGGATGGTGTGATCAATCCCATTAACAAGCGGCCCACCACAATGACAGGGAAACTGTTTCCTGTGAAGCCACCCACTTCATCCTCAGTGGGCTTTGGCTTCATGTTCCGAAAGTGCCCTGAGTTGTATCCCAGCATCCTCGCCTGCTCCATGGCCTTTAGCCGACGAGGACCACCTTTGTCCTTTACAAGGCATGCATCTTCATACGCATAGGGAGGAAGTCGGTACGCATCGCCTTTCCACCGACGAAGGGCTTTTTCAGAAGCCTGTTCAAGGCCTGCAGGCGACGGTGGAGGCTGCTCCCGTTTGATCGGCCGAGTGAAACATGGGAAGGGGTCATCGGTGTCGCAAAGCCGTGCGGTGGCAGGCTCCACGAATTTCCAAAGGGCAGGCCAACATGCTTCAAAGTGCACTTCTGCATGGGCATCCTCCTCACCAACGCTCTTTTCTTCTATGGTGAGGTCTTTCCCTGATATCAGTGCCAAGCCTCTTAGCCAGAATTGCCTCGGACGACGCGTCCACCCAACTTCATGCGCCCACGTCTTCAAAGGCCTCATTTGCATCTTCGCTCCGACAATCCGCGCGTCAGCGGCATCAAAGAAAACGTTCTCGTATAGTTCAATCACACTCCATGGCCGTTCATTTGGGAGCTCACCTGCTTCTTTCAGCCATCCCGCAATCTGCAGCATGTCATCAAGCAGCCTCCCCATTTCGCTGTCTGCACCTTCGCGCTGGCTCTTCAAGCGGCTTTGCTCAACGCATGGCCAGCCCCCGCAGACTAGGACCCGTCGAGCTCGGCAGAAAGTCCTTTTCCACCTCAGTACATCCTCCCGGGTGATCTCTTTGATGTCGCTGTAGAACATACTGTGTGGGTGATGCCCTTTCTGAAGTTTTCTGGCCTTCGGGTTGAGGTCGACAAAAATGAGTCCCATGGGGACCACCCCTAGCAATTGCAAAGCCTTCGAGAGCCCTCCGGCCCCTCCGAACAATTCAACAACCAGGATCTCATCTGCTAAAGCTCCGCCCTGGCAGTGGCTATCCAGTGCGAGAAGATGCGCGCGTACATCCCCCACTTTGGATAGCCCCACCGAATGGCACGCTCCACCACCTTCCTCTGAGGCATCTGTGGCCCACACCCGTCCATCCAATTGACACTGGGTGTTCATCCAGTGCATCGGGAGCGCCATGGTCAGCAGCCAGAGTTCATCAATCACCTGATGTGGAATCACTCCCTTGCCATAATTGTGGATGAACTTGTATACCTGGTCAAGCAGGCAAGCAGTAGTCCGGTTGTATTGGCACGAATGCATATGCTTTGAGACTGTTGTCATGAACTCATTCAAGCTCACCTTCATGCTTCCCTCGGTTCGAATCAAATGCAGGGTGGCTCCCATCAGGGCACGCCGGAACCCAAGGTTGGATCCCACGTGGTTCTCAAGCATCTCTGCGCCCAAGGTCTGCCATGACCGCACGCCCTCTGCGGCTTTCTTCGGATCACGGCCCACCGTGTGTTCATGATAGACTTGCCTCAGCTGCAGCTGCACTTCAGAAGCTTTTCCCTCATATCGGCCCACCTCCGACTCGTTCACAACCATCACTTGATCAAAGTTGTCCACATAGAAGCTGAACCACTGTCTTGGGGTCAGCAGGTCTCCATGTGGTAACGGATGGCCGAGCCTGAGGAGGTGACTTGGGGGCACTCCAGCTACCGCTCCCATCTCCTCATGCACAACCTGTATCAGGTCAACAATGTTCTTCCATCCCATTGGAGCTGAACAGACTCGAGGTCTCAGCGGTGGTCCTGATCGCCCAAATGCCTCGGCTGATGCCTTTCGGCTCAAGGTGAAGTACCCACGCCAGGCATAGCCAGGACGATAAATGTGGAAGCAATGCTTCTGGTCCTCGGCAAAGAACAGCGACACCTCCCCTTCTTGGACAATCATCTGTCCAAAGAGTGGCCCATAGGACATCTGGGTTGAGGCTCGCTCCGGGAATCTTCCTTGCAAACCATTCGACGGGATCAGATTTATGATCAATCGCAGGCACCTTGTCCACTCCCCTGAAGCTTCTTGCTTCCATGCTTTGTGGACACCAAAGGCTCCATTCAGCACCGGCTTCCCCTTGTGGCGCACCGTCTCCTCCTCGACTTCTGCCTCAAACATGCCGGCCACCACAAGGGACTTCACGATCTTGTCCCATTCAGCAGGACTTTCAACATGAACCGGTGCAGTGTATCGTGGATTGATCACCTCATCGTCATCCAGCCTCACCAGCGCCGGGTTGACAGCGTACTCACGGATGCGCTCCGGGAGCACTGACGCCAACTCGACACGAGCAGCCTCCCCAGCTTTGGGGATTGAAGGCTCAATGGCTCTCAGCGTCAGCGGGTAGCACTTCCGCCACTCCTTCCCTGTGTAGAGCTCCCCAAGTTGTTCGCTCACATCATGCCAAGGCCCTATCCTCACAGATTCCCCTGAGTTGCCAAAGGTTCTCGCATTCCACTTCAACTTCTCCATCACGGGAACTTGGCACTCAAGCAATGTTTTGGAGTGGAACAAAGTCTGCGTCAGCAGCCTGTCCTTCCCGATGTACATGTAGTTGAGCAGCACTACTTGGAGCCAAACCCATGCATCCACACCCGCGACTGGGACCCAGTTGTCCAAGGATTCCTTGCTCCCAGCCTCCGGCTGTCCCAATCTGACCTTCTCAAGCACCCGGCGAACTTCAATCTCGGCCTCCGTGTCATCAGGCAAAGGCAATGGCAGCACTTCCTGGAAGGGCTGCGAACTACCCAAGGGCCCCACTGCGCACAGCTCCATCAGGATCACTGCTGTCCCAAGGAGTGAGGGTCGCACTCTCACCATCTCCTTGAGCACGATCCCCAGTTGAAGAGTAGTCATAGCTCCCTCCAGGAACGCCTCAACCTGCTGATAATATTCTCTCCCTCCATGCCGTGGTCCTTGCCCTGTTCCGCCTCTCAGACCGAAATAGTCCACCGTGCTCTGAGCCATCTCCAAGCTGTCACCCTCATCAATGTAGAGTGGACGACCTTCTAAGAGTCGTCGTGCCACTCTGGTGTCCAGTCGGTCACGATTTGCCTGCCCCAACGGGCTTGCGGTCAACCTTTTGGATCCATCGCCCACATAGATGCCTCCATCACTGCGCCATTGCAGCCACTCCCCCGACACCCAACGAATGATCACCCCGTGATGACGGCCGGCCTCCGGCCCCTCTACATGGTGATCACTCCTACAGCCTTCGGGGGCACAAACCATCTCATCAGGGGCACTCTCACTGTAAAGCTCATGGTACTTCCGTGTCAGGATGTTTGCAATCTCCAGCGGCTCTTTGCCGCAGTTGCTCTCCAAGATGGCCTTCACCCTTTGCGACCTGACATCCTTTCTGTCAGCACTTGCACCTTCCATGATCTCGTTCACCAATGGGGTGAGCACCTCTGGAAGCAACCTCTGATCTTGCTTCACTTCTTCCATTTCCCCCGGCCTTTCTTCCCGCGGCCTTTCCCTTTTGCGGGATCTCCCACGTCGTTCAAGGGGGCTGTCCCATCGGTCACCACTGCATCTCCGCCGCCGTCTCCTTTTGGCTGACCTTTGCCTCCCTTCCATTCTCCTTTCCAACCCCGAGGGGCCCAGGCCATCTGCTGCAGTTTCAGGTCTGCTTTCCGCTCGGCCTGCACAGCTTTTAGCTCTTGGCGGAAATAGCTGTGCTCCTCGTCCGCGTGGGTCAGTTCGAGGTATTGGGCCTGTGCCCAGCTGCCCTGATCGGCTGCGAGCTCTATAGCCTTCTGCCGCTGAATCAAGACGTCGAGTCCCCGCAGAATGTCGTTGCTTGCCAAGAGGTCCACGACTGTCATGATGGTCTCCATCTCCTTCATAGTTCTTATGCCGAAGTGTGACGAACTTCGCCGGGGAACCAACCACTGATGGAGGTAAGCCCTCGCACATGGGGGGAACATCTCGTGATGTTTTGTTCCCGCCTCTCTCCCGGCCGACCGCTCCAGAAGTTCTTGATACTTCAACAATGTCAAATTGGCCAGGTGGCCTGGCTGCTCCTGATGGATTTGACGTAAACGGTCGACCCCCTCCGGGAGAGAGGCTACGCGAAAAACCTCCTCGCCTGAAGAAGAACTTGAGCTACTCTTCGATCCTTTGCCTTCCTTCTTGCCCCTCTTCTTCCTCCTTTTCTTGTTCAATCGAAGGGCACTGTCTCGGCTCTTCACTCCCTCACGTTTGTCCAACTCCTCCCTGTAGGTCGAACTCGACTCTTCTCCTTTCTCCTTGGCACGCCGACGCTTTGCCTCCCCTGCCCCCCCGGAAATGCTCTCCCGAGGTGACGCTGGAGACTCTGCGTCAGGCGCCTTTCCTCCTCCCGACAACGCCGCTGCAAGTCCAGTGAGGCCTTCCGCTCCAGGAAGTACAGGGGTGAGCCCAACTCCATCTGAACCACAGGGCCGGGCTTCGCTCTTGTGATCCTTCTTGGAGTCTCCCTTCCTTAGCCTATGTCCCTCCAGGATCTCATGCATAGTTGCTTTCCCCTCAGGTGTCAACCAGCTCAACCGTTCATGGCCATCCCCTTCAAGCATCCGATACACATCAATGTGTGTCACCTGGCGGAACGGAGTCTCGACCCCGCAAGTCTTGCAAGGGCGTCCGCAAAGATGTATCCGATGCAGTCTCCCCTCTTTCAGGGGACCGTGTTCATTTTGATGCCACCAGGTGTAGTAGTCGTCCTGGATGCTTAGGAAGTGGCACCCCCACACTTGTCCCTCTTCTTCTGCTTCATCAATCTCCTTCGCAGCTAGGATCAGGAGCGCATGTCCTTGGGGCCTGCACTTGTCGTCATACATGACGGCCTCCACTACCACTCCAGAAGCCAGGCCTTCGTAGTGTTCAGGCCTGGCCCTGGCCCCGGTTTTCCGCCACCGGGAGGCCATTGCAGCTCCGCGGTCTTACCCCTCAGGCTGAGTATCCCTCACCCCCCTCTGTTGACCTTCCCCGCACGCGTGCAGGTCAGGTAGTCAGAGGTGGGAGAGGGTGTCTCACCAAGAGGGGGCCGGGAGGCTCTTTAACTCCTCTACTCTATGGTAGGGGGCTTAAGCTTTAAACTGAGGAAAAACATTAAAACTTACTCCTTCGCACTAAACTGCAGGGGAACCTGTTTACTGAATCATCTTGCCCAAAGTCTGAAACCACCCCGACGTGGGCATATGGCACAATTAAATGGAGTGACTGGGATGGAACAAAAAACACACCAAAAGCCGTCCAAAACGTCCACCACTTCCTCATGCTTCGTGTCGTTGAAGCGCACCCAGCCCTCCCCAGGAGGGATCAGCCGCTCGGGCGCTGCCACTGGCCGCATCGCCTCAGGCGCGCTCGGTCCGCAGTTCGGTGTCCGTCCCATCCATTGACTTTCGTGACCAAACCAACCAGGGGATCAGTCGCTTAAGTCGCGAACGGAAGACTGCAGGGAAGAACCATAGAATGACGCTGAATCCAATCACAGTGATGAATGCGAGGACAAATCGCCAAAGGCAGGGCGAGGCAGGGCGAGGTTGGAGCAGGCATTTGCTGAGTCAGCAGTAACATGATCTGACTTGGTGTATCTTGGTGAACCTGCAGCATCCAGTTTTGACACCTGAAGGCTTCGCTCACCAAAAATCATGTGTGCGCAAGTTCGGCTGGTATAGGAACCATGGACCTCCAAGCGCCTGCTGAAAATGTTGTTCTTTGTTCTTGGTGAGTTGGATCTTTTTCCTGGCTTGACCAGGGGTTCAATTTCACGAGGAGGAACTTCCCAGGATCTTGGAAAACTCGACGGGTTCCCCGACCGACCAAGTGATGTTCATTGACGAAAACCAACACTGTCGTGACTAATGTTTCAACTACATTACAGTTTCCTGTGTAACGCGTTCCGAGGTGGTTTGTATGCAGCTGCCGAGCTGACTACTTCACGATGATACTCAGGGTACAGGTTCCAGGAAGTGGGATGACCGTGTCAGCTACCCATCGCCCCAACCACTGCACCCCTCGCCCGTCTTCCGTTCGGACTGTCCGGGTGGCGTTATAGATGGACTCGAGTGCTTCGGGCGTTGAAACGGGCGCATCGCTGGCCTCGTGGCACGGAAGGAAGACCCCTGTTCTCAGACTCACATAGCAACCCAAAGAAAGGGTTTGCAACATGTTGTTCCTTCACCCGATCAGATCCTATCATCTACTACAGTATATCTATTAGTGCATCCGTTAGAATTTGAAGGGTTTATTCAGTTACGTGAATGGATACAGTAGGACTCCAACAAGGACTCTCTGAAAAAGCTGGATCGTCATTTGGAAAAGGCTGGGTTCAGGTCAACCCACAGTTGGAAAAGCCACCTAAATAGGCATTGAACTGAGCCAGTTCTTTTATCGACACCTAAAAAGCCAACCATGTCCAAAGAAGTGGTTTTTAGTCCAATCCATTTTTTTTGGAGGGTGCACCCTTTGGAACTGCTGGTGACCTCGTCTTCTTTGGGTCGTTCGCCCCACGACCCACCACATCTGGACATCCGTCCGCCACCCGCCATCCGCCACCTTTGTCCTCAAGGACTCCGCGATGCGCTTGACGCCCAACTCACCTCGCGTGGTTCAACCACCGCACCATTCCGTCTGGGGACTGGAATAGCTTACATCCCCATTGATGATTTACGACTCATTGACTCATGACCGTAATATGAATGAATAATGATACAGTATAAAATGTAATATAACGATTGTCTCTCTCTCTCTCTCTTCATAGATGGTCTGAGCTTCTTTATCTTGACTTGCTCGACATGCTGAGTGACTCCACCGACATCGCCCACAACAGTACAGTCGCACCATGTCTCACCCCGTGGAACAGTATATTCTACCTGGATCATCGAAACAAATCCAAACAAATGTACAAAGAACTGCCTGACTGTTCGGCATGTGTTTTGCCGGTGCACCAGCGTCTTTTCCCCGATATCGCATGTTTTTTGGGAAGCGACATGGCGAACACCGGCAAATTTGGTAAAGCCACAAAGAAACGGCGCTTTGAGGCGTCCAAGCGGCAATCACCGTCTTTTTTTTATTGAGCACATGATAGCACATGTTTGCAATCCCTGCAACAGTTGAAACGGCATGTTTGTTTGCTTATGGGGTCATGGAGTGTTTTTACTGAAAGTGCACCGGCAAAAATTTAGGCCGTTTGTGGATCCAGCTATACAGATCACACACCACAAAATTGGCCTTCAAACATATATGAAGGTTTTGGCAACACAACCCATAATCAGGGCTCCAGCTGCTACATCCGGCTGCTACACCCTGGATAGGGAATTGGTCGAAGGATGTCGAAGGATGGAAAAGCTAGCTGTAGCTGAAATCTGCCCGGGCCTTCATTCTCGAAGGTCTTCCGCAAGATCTCGCAGTCCTCTGCCATGATTTGGGTCAGTCCAGCCAACGCCAAGACTCTTGGAGTGCCCAAAGCATCCCAAAACTATAGTTCTGATGGAGGTATGTACGTACAATGCGCTGGTTGGTCACATCGCATGGGCCACGATAAGACTTGGAGCAATGAACTGGTTCCGCATGACTCATGACGAGCTGCAGACATGCCTTTCCCAGGGCTCCAGTCGTACCTCCTCAGAAGGTACAGTATTTGGACCCTCTAAACCCACCCCAAACACCTTCTCAGAAACTATTTGTTTTGCAACCATGCCTTTTGGCTTGTGTATCGACCTCACCGGAGCAGTCTGACACTCCTTGATGGCCTCCGCCTTATTGTCTCGCCGGGGGCCCTGCACCTCAGCGGCGGGCCGACATCCGCCGGGTCGGGTCGGGTGGGTCGTGGCCGTCCGTCGCCAAGCGGCTGCGACCTCGCGGCAGGAGGGCTTCGTGAGCAGCGCATGAAAGTCCGCAAAGTACTTTTGGCTGGTGGACTCAGTGATAATGTCACTCTCTTCCTGAGGGGCAGGGCAGGGAGTGAGAAAGTCTTGAGGGGAACGTCTGAAATGTTTAGAAATATATATCCCAAACGCTCCATGTATGCCATATTTGCCTACATTGGGGTGGTTTGGGGGGTCAATGTAGGCATATATGGCACACATGGAGCGTGTGGGTATATATTGATGTTCACCGGGTTGAATACGAATCCGCCTGATGCCCTTCAAAGGGGTTCTCGGAGCCAAATCCAGCAACCTTGGGTGCCTGGTATGTTGAGAATGTTGAGAGAGAGAGAGAGAAAGGGAGAGAAAAGAACAAACAATCAAAAGCAACCTAAAACAACAACATACCATTCTCTTCCTACACTTTGTCATGCAAACTGCCCCCCATGGATGGAATCAATTTCTTTGCCTCTTTGACCGCAACTGCCCCCAAACCACACCACACTGCTCCCTTCACATCATTGTTATATTGTTCCTGGTCTTGTTTCCAAGCGTCGGCTTTCACGGAGACCTGCACAATGTCCTTCTCCCCCCTCGCCATGGCGGCCGCGTGCCACGTGCCTCACCACCCCATAGCCGCCACAGCACCGTGGCCGCACCAGAACGACCGATGGTCAGGCGCGCGAGGGCAGGCGCGGCGACAGTGGGTTGAACGGCCGAAACGCCTGCGGAGAGGTGGAGATGGTTCGGAAGGGTGGTCCAACTACCGCCAGGACGGTCCAACTGGTCAACCGCGGTGTGTGAGACAGTGGTTCATGGTCCACTGTTGGACAACGGGCCCCATAGGGTGGTCCTTGCCGTCCTGGGACCCGTCCAATCTCTTGATGAATCTTATGCGATCATACTGTGGAGGTAGACCCATGTCACAGGGCTGCTCACCAACTAATGGTTTGAGCATATCGCATGAATTCACTCAGGTGGTGTGGCCCAAACACATCGGAAACACCCCGAGCCGCGTCCCTCCAAGCGCCCCGAGCCATGAGCGCGGCAGCTCGCCGGAAACGCATCTGCTCCTGTGGTTTTCAGCTTCGCAGCTCTAGTAGCTGGGATTACTAGGAGCGTTCGGACACTACTAGGTTGGAGGCCATCGCTAGTAGGTTGGAGGCCATTACTAGTAACAAGAAGCTACTAGGAGCAAGGACGCTTCTCAAAGAGAGGTTATCAGTTCAAAAGAAGGAGCCCGATATTATTCGAGCCTTCCCCGGATAACAATTAATTAACGTGAATTCAAGTGATGCCGTGGCCTCAAACAAATCTCAAATAGCTTGCTCGTAAGGCCGCTTCACTTTTTGGAGTGAGCCTTGGGAGAGCAAACAGTCTCACCCGAAATCGATCTACCGCTATCAATCTCAGCCTTGCTGACTCTGAAGCAGAAGCCGCAATCGCGCCACTGATCGTCCAACACGGCGACACGTCCAAGGCCCGCGACCACGTCCATCGGCGCTTTCATCCATCACGCTCGGCCGAACCGACGCTGGTCCATCGCGACGCGTCCTCGGGAAATTCGATGAGGATGTGCGACAAGGCGTCCCGGCTAAGGCTCATGATCTCCTTAGATCGAGAAGAAATCGTCACCCGACGTCGAAAAGCCAATCCGGAGCCAACTTCCAACAAAACGAGTGATGCTAAACTATGACTGTTGATGGTCAAGCTACATCAAGTAAATACCTGGCCACATCTGACCAGCAGAACATACCAATCCCTGGAGTTGCGGGACATCCCGACATCGTCCCAACAAACTGGTATAGTACAGGATTTCATGTGCAATCGTACACTCGTGTCTGATAGAGATGGAGTCGAATCAATCCGAGAAAAGCATCTTTAGCCAATCTCAGCACTCACCAAATGACCCTGGCTGACCCTCATCTGGTGAAAACAGGGCAGTTTTCGGGCGGTCCATGACCCAATCGTTGGTTTAGAGCAAGCGCCAAACCCCTTCAAAAAATCGCCAACCTTGAAAGGACTCACTGTGGACGCAGAACCTTCAACTTGAGAAAGTGACCTGTTGGTGGAGCCAACTTCCCCCCTCTTCGCCGGGCTTCCGTGTAGGTCAGTGCCATCGCCGAAGGGTCCTGCGACGAGTCGTGACCGCATCATGCCTCATCAGACGCCAGCAGCCTCCAGAAACCTACTGGTACTGGTAGTGATCCTTTACTTTCCACTGACCGTGCGCTGCGTCATCCCACATTCCCCCCACAATCCACCCCAACACCACCAAGCAGGCCTGTCAATCAGCCAAGAGTTTGGGGCCGCTTCTGAACCCTTGAATCAAGTGAGGCGTTCCCATCATCAGCAGGCAAATGTCAGGTGGCATAGATTGCAAGCAGGAAGACATGAATTAATGATTAGATGCCAGGACCTTCCAACAGGTGGTGTTTGGCTCCGATTCCAGGCTGTTTGTGGGCATCTGTTGTCACCAGGACGCAACTGGTGATCAGGTAGATAGAGTGCGGGCAAAATCTAGAGAAAGCCATCCCCTGGGAGTCCAAAACACCCGCAAAAGAAAGCCATAAAAAAGCAAGCACTTCCTTTACTTCAGTGGTGCTAACATGTGCCACATATGGTCTTTGCACTTCTGGGGCGTTCAAAGAATGTTGCCACACAATGATGCAAATGCAGTTTTTCCATTCCGTGATCTTCTTGGAACAACATCTCCCGCCTGTCGGATCATGGGCATGCGTATCAGCATGTCCTGCGGACCAATGAGATTGGTGAGTGCCGAACTTGCCACATGAAGAATGGACGATTCGTTGCCGGGGTGCAGAAAAACAGGAAATCTCCAAAAGGAACACGAGCCCCACATCACCCTGAACTCCCAAAGAGACGCCGAAGGTCCCCAAACAGTTCGAACGGTTTCAGAAAGGTTTCAGTCATGTGGAGACTCCAGGGACTTGCAAGATCCGGCTCATGGCACTAGAAGCCCTTCGACGGTGGGATTTAAAGAAAAAAACACTCCGGAGTGGCGTGGTTCCGTCAGTACGAGCCACCCCACACCACATGTGCGAGCACGAACTTTTGTACAGCACGGAGTGGGGTGGGACCATTTTGCGAGAGGAAAAGCCAAGATGCAAGGTGGGGAAAGATGGGTGAGAGTAGTTTTTTCCCCCGACCAAGGCAGGACCGCACCAAACAAAAACAAAAAATTAGTTCGACCAGGCCTAATGTATAGACTCTTGATTAAAATATCGGTCAATATGTATGACGAGGTTCTACAATCCAAATGGCATCATAATGTATTCCAGTCAAGAATCTGCCCCAGTGCATCCCAGTTACCACTATATAAGGAACCAGGGATTCTAGGTCTATGGTGTTAGTCTTGGGAACCACTGGTTACCAGCTTTTGTGGTTTGCCTGGATGCCCTGGGTGCATGAATGGCCTCTCCCCAAAACCACCATTCCCAACGCCTCCCAACGCGTCAGTCCTCGCCCCAGTAGCCCCAGGGCACCAGAATGCGTCCCAATCGGCCGACGGCACCGCGTTCCACCACACAAAGCCTCGAGGTGTCGGGATGGTGCGACTGGGGCGGCGAAAGGGGCCCACATCCGTTTCGAAGGTGCTTGGGGTGGGTTTGCGGGTCTAACCTTCTCATGATTGGTCGAAGAGTAGGACCGACCAGGCAAGCCGTGGTTATTTACGTAACTCGTAACATATTCTTATAGGAATCCTTACCGACCTATATCATTCCAAGAAATTAATACACAAATTCGGCAGATCCTAATTAATACATGTTGATACATTTTGTCGAAATATGGAATTAGTATTATATATCAAAGCCCTAGGGAGTGTGCCAGAAGTGCATCTGGTGGCGTGAAAGTGCCGTGATTCTGCTGGCAGGAGCTGCTTAGCCTTAAAGTAATCAACACCCTGCAATGAGCTGGGGTTGTGCACTCTGAGGGTTTTACCGTGCCAGAACGTAAGGTATCCCTGCCTGAGAGGGCCAGCCAAGCCAAGCATAGCCATATTGTATCAAGATTCTTTTTGTCATCGCCAGCATGCGTTCACTTGATCGGTTTGCCCTCTGTCCCTCGCCCCCCTCTCTCTCTCTCTCTCTGCCCGCTGTCGAATGCCTGGACAAAGTCCTGGGAAGCTATGATTCAGCTGCCTAGAACAGGAAACCATGCCCCCAGTTCCCACCGGATCCCGTTGAAAGGGTCATGGCCCGCCATGACCAACATGGCCCGCCCAAATCTCCACTCCCACCGATCCAGTTCGATAGACCTGTGGACCACAAGAGGAACATGACTCTCCTCTCCTCGAAGAAAAAGAAAGAAGGCAAGTCCCACGTCGCACATCGCTTCCTCCCAGTCGGACCGAGGTCACTGTGCTCGGAGCTCGATGACTTCCCGGCGCTCGAAGAAGTTGGGCGCCTGAATGGTGGGTGAAGCAAGAGTTGGAATCAACCCAACATCAGGCTAATACTATCTGTAATGTTGATATAATTGTTGTTGTTGTGGTTGCTTTTCTGGTGGCTGAAAGTGCCTCGGGGTTGACTATACCTACCTGGTTAGTGAAGATTGGCAATGCACTACAAACTCCGCAACAAACTCGACCACGAAACAAACATGAATTTCCACAACTTTACCTCTGTGCAGAACGAACATGAACTAAGGACTTTAGACAAAAGAACCAGCTCAACCATTGTTTAAAAAGGTCTTTGAAGGCTAAAGACTTTGAGAAAGGCTATGACTTCCATTCCTTTTTTGGGACAAGGCTAGGGTCGGGTGTCGATCCAGTCAGCTTCAGTCAGCATGTGTTTCTTTTTCTGACCCAAGTCGACTCTGGTAGCTGGGGGCCTCCTTGTTCGACATGAGGCCAGCTGGGCAGCGAACAATTCCGGTACAGCAACCAGGTAAGGTACAGCGCAATTCCACGGTGGAGCATGGTGGAGCGATCAATAATGCTAGCTCATGCCCAGGAGTAGACTCCCTCTACCAGGGTATTCACCCAGTCTCCATGCGGACGATCGCCATGGAGTCATTGACTATCGCCATGGAGTCATTGACAATCGCCATGGAGTCATTGGAACGGATAGTTCTAGGGCTCAAGCAATGCCTCAAGCACAGCCTCAAGAGTTCTTGTTGGACCCCTGAAACCACCTTGTTGACCCAGTCCAAACACACAATGGAGGTAGCAGGTGCTTGGCGCACCTTCTTCATATATATCCCACACGCTCCATGTATGCCATATATGCCTACATTGACCCCCCCAAACCACCCCAATGTAGGCAAATATGGCGTACATGGAGCGTCTGGGTATGGAGAACTCCATGTCGGGATTCAATTCCTCGTGAGGTGGGTCAACGTCCTCGCCCTTCTCCACGCAACTTCCCAGGCTTGTGGGTCCCCTGCAAAGTGCTTGGCGCAATCCTCGCGGAACTGCACATTGGTGCCTCGAAGGGACGCAAATCTGCCGAGCGAAGGGAGAGCCCGTTTTTTGTTTTAATACGCGGGTAGGGTCTAGAAACGGTTAATCATTGACCAAAGTGGCTTTCCAATGCAACGGATTGAAAATCAATCAAATCGTGAACATTATAGCTACATGTTTGGGTGCGTTATCCCAGACACTCCATGTATATATGTCATAATGCCTACATTGGGGTGGTTTTGGGGGTCAATGTAAGCATATATGGCAGTCCCATGGAGTGTCTGGGTATTGCATACGTCCAA